CCCCGAGGCCCCCGCGCCCCCGAGCCCGGCCCGCCCTGGAGGAGGCTGCGGGCGGGAGGTCCAGTCCAGCAGCGCGCAGCGCGTTCAGCAGCCTGGTGGGTCAGCGCTCTTATAGTAAGTAAGCGCGAGGTAACCGCAGCACCCCCAGGCGCGGGGCTCCCAGTATTTCTGTTTGGAGTGTCCCTGTTTACCGCAATGAGGCGAAGGGCTTGCCCGGCGGGGTGGCGGCTCGCGGCCCCCTGCCTTCGCGGTGGGGCGCGGCAGGCGCTTCGTGGGCCGTCGGGCCGCGTGTCACCCCGCGAAGCCGAACCCCCCGGGCGCTGCGGCGACCTGCGACCTACGTCGCCCTGCAGGGCACGTCCCGGAGTCCCAGAGCTCCCGACTTCGGGTCCGGGCGCGTCCCTGCGCTCAGCCCTGACTGCGTCTTGTCTTCCCTCTTTCCTATCCTTTTTCCTTTACACAGGAATTATTGGGAAAGATTCTGACTCCATCTTGAAAACCCTACTCATTTCCACCCTTTTAAATATATTTTATGATTGCACATTTCCTTATATAATGGTTACATTTCTTTTTTTAAAATTAATTAATTAATTTGTGTGTGTGTGTGTGTGTGTGTGTGGCCAGCTCAGCCCACCAGGGGGCGGGGCTGGCTGGCATGTGGTGCTGGGGATTGAACCGCAGTCCCTGATGCTTTGATAAGCTTGTTCCAAGTAGGCGCTTTAGACCACTGAGCCATCTCACCAGCCCCTTCTTTACAGGGCAGTCCTGCACGTCGTTGCCGCCCTCATAAGCCGTGCGTGAGAGCGCCCCGTACAAGCGGAGCTAGAGATCTCTGAAACAGGTCAGTGTGGATCAGAGGTGGGAGGCACACTCACGTTATTTCACAACTACTTATAAAGTCATATTTCTTAAATTGACAATCTTTAAATGACTTCTATTGAGACATCATTGGTGAGAACTGAAGTTACTGTTAGACTTTATACAAGACAGACCATATTAAAATGAAAATAAAAATTTCAATAAAATATGTCTTTAAAAACACTAAAAGCACACCTTGCTGATCCCGCTCAAGCCTCTAGGTGCTGTGACCTCCCTGACGCGGCCTAGAAGCCGCTCCTTTCCAGCGCCCTTCCGGGTCTCAGCACCGCCCGCAGGACTCTCCTCCCTCATCTGTGCGGCAGCAGTCACGCTGGCTCATCTCGGCTTTTCCTTATCTCCTTGTAGATTATCAGAAAATTGGGGAGGTTGGAAGCAGGACACCGATGACATAATTTCTCCATCAATCTAGAGTACTAAGATCAACATGTTAATAAGCAAGGTGCTCACAAAAATAGATGAAGCAATTTCACATAGAATCAAATAGAAATTATATATTCATGGCATCCATTTCTACAATATATGTCTCAATAGATATCTACCTAGTCTCAAAAACATTTATTTTTAGTAATCAAACAGGGCCCGCCAAATAGCTCAGCAGACTAAAGCACCTGCTTAGGCAGACACAGGGGCCAGGAGTTGCATCCCCTGGGCGCGCTCAGACTGCAATTGAGAGTGGGCGTGGTGGCATGAGTCTGTAATCCCAGCTCTTGGGAGGCTGTAAACAGGTGGATTACTACGAGTCTGATCTATGCAATGAGACCCGGAACACTTTATACACCCTGTCCTAAAAATACAAAATAATAATAATAATCAAACATTATCTCCTGCCCAGAAATGAAAAACTTCCCATTGTGCCCCTGTTCTCCATACGTTTGTGGGAAGCTTACATTCTCTAGTCCTATATTCTCTAATCCATGTTAAATAAATTACAAAGAACCCTATGGGTGAGCACACACACACACACACACACACATCTGGGTGTGAGCTCAGGGTTCCACGTTGCTTGATCCTGACAGATACCCAGACAATTATTATTAATAAATGTTTCAGACACATTTATCTATTTTACCCTAAATGTTGCTAGTGGAAAGGAGCTAACAATCATTTCCCAAGCTTGCAAACTTTTTCTAAAATTTGGATTCAGCCCTCCAGTCTAGAGTGGCTTTTACAAAGGAATAGTAAGTGGATAAATTGTCAGAGTGAGGAGTATTTGCTCCAAGGGTGAAAGGATTTTAATTTGCCCATTCATCACCCTTCTCTGCTGATCCTTCGCTCATGTGTTTGTGATAGACTAGATATGTTACCGAGGACACAGGAACAGTTAGCTTTCTTATTGCTAACATTTATAACCCTTCTAGAAACAAATTGTGACAAGCAGAAGCTTGGCGGTATACCAGCTATTCATTTCTTTGAAGTGCTTCATGTATACATTACTTACATCTTATTATATGTGTTAACAAACGCAATAAAGCAGAATTGCTGGTGGCAAAGCTAGGCTACTGTCTCACAAATCAATAATAATTAAGACAAATCATTTGTCTTTCAATAGATTACACTTGCTCAGAAAGCTTGGGAAAAGAAAAGCATTAATATTTATGGTTAAAATGATGAAGCCACATTTCATTCAACAGATGAACAAACATATGTAGAGTGATAAGAATATTGAGCGCGGTGAATATTCTCCGTATGCATCCTGGAAGAAGGGGCGAGGGGTTGTGAATGGGGACCAAGCCTTCACTCCAAGGCTTAAACCTGGCTCCATGCAGGGACAGACAGCCTCCACCCTGGGCAAGGGTTCCTTCCCTCGGCACTCCTGCGGGAAGACTTGACGGGCGCATGTGCTTCTGTAAGTAATTATAGTCAGTCAGTTTCTACTGCTGACAAAATACTATGTCCATGGGTTTGTAATGTAATTACAACTGAAAGATAATTACATGGGTGTGAGCTCCCTTTAGGCAGACCTCGTAAACAATCACATGAGCACATCCTCCATGACAGATAAAGAGGGTATGGTAGGGTGCTTCCGGAATGAATCATTATTACCAAACACACTGCTTCCTGTGGGATTTATTTCTAGAATACACACAATCATACAATCTGTAGGGATTTAGATATGATTCATAAAAGCGAAGTGATTGTATAATGAAAAATCATTGCAGAATCTCTATAGCGGCAGAAACATACATTGACAACTGTAGAAATAGATAGACCCGCTCTGGGCCCCACGCCCACCCTGCAGCATTGAGCAAAGTCGGCACTAGGAGTCGGAATTCTAGCTCCACTGAGAAACTTCCTTCTGATTCCTCCCTTCTTCCTTGCCACTCCCTTTTTAGAATCTTCTTTTCCTTAATTTTCTGTTTGACAAGCAACTCACATTTTTCTCCCCTCATCTCTTCTTTCTTGTATTTCTAACTCCAAACTCTGGTGAATGTGTTTGAAGTAAGGGCTTGGCTCAGCATTAGGTAAGTGTCTAGTACTGAGGGTCAGAATAACAACACCAGTCCAGTGATAAACATGCCACTTGGGGCAAGGAGTGATTTTTTTTTCCTTAAAATGATGAAGAGAAAATATATACATCAGAAGGCAAGAAGTTTAATTGCATTTGGGGGATTATAGGGCAATTGTATAAGGTAAAGTGGAAGAAGATTATAAGACATAAGATATAGTTTAATAAAGAGAATTCCAGAGCGGTTTCTGTGACACCAGTAAGTGTTAAATCTCCTCTTTATAGCCCAGGGTTGTTATCAATGTAGTAGATTTCATTTAATTTTAAAATGATACAGAATGGCAAGAGGGCTGCATTTATCTCTGTACAAATACACCTTGCCCAGTTCTCAAACAGGTTCATAGTACTATAAACAAGGAAACATATGTGCTACTGATCAGATCAAATGCTGTCACTAGTCATCTAACCTAAGTATCAAGTCCCAATTAACTGCTACAGGCCTGGGGAGAAAATTTGACGATATAAGTGCCTGCCTGGCAAGCACAAGGTTCTTCAATCCACATTACAGCATGCCATGCCTGCAGGAATCTGGGCCTACTGTGCTGGCCCTGGAACCAGGCATGGTGATGCATACCTATAATCTCAGTGCTGGGAGGCTGAGGCAGGAGGATCACTATGAGTCCAAAATGCATAGCAAGACCATTTATCAGAAAGAAAGAAAGAAAGAAAGAAAGAGAGAGAGAGAGAGAGAGAGAGAGAGAGAGAGAGAGAGAGAGAGAGAGAGAAAGAAAGAAAGAAAGAAAGAAAGAAAGAAAAGAAGGAAAAGAAAGAAGGAAGGAAGGAAGGAAGGGAGGAAGGAAGGAAGGAAGGAAGGAAGGAAGGAAGGAAGGAAGGAAGAGAAAGGCCTAGGATAACAGCAAGGTCCCTAACACTCACTTCAGCACTTGGTGCATAGTGCTGACAATGGTGACCTTCATCTGGAGCATCCGTGTCATGCTCCCGTCTGCACGTCATTTTGGCCAGTAGATTTGTGTCTCACGCCTCTTTATAACTCCTCCAATGTGTAGCAGAATTTCTTACACGGTACAACCTCAGTGAAAGGTACAGCACTCTCACTCTACCAATGGGACAATTTTAATGACCTGCAGAATTCTCAAGAGAAAGAAGACACTCTTCTCTCCTTGCTGGGACAAATACCCAATACACAAAATGAAGGAAGAAAAGGTTTATTTAGCTCACAGTTACTGGAGGTTTCAGTTCATACTCAGCTGGCTCCAAGCACAGTAGCACACGGCAGAGGGCAGCCGTTCATAGCAGCAGAAGGCAGCAGGACGGCAGAGCAAAGAGCACCAGCAACAATGGCCACAGACAGCAACTATGTCTCTGTCTCTCTTACAGTGCATTCAGGCTATCTGACCCAGCTCTGTGTGTAGTGCTCACACCCATAATCCCAGCAGTACTTAGACCCATAATCCCAGCCTTGGACTGGGAATTAATTACAAACTCTAGAAGCCCACCCATGACTGCAAGAGGCTTTGTGGGGACAAATACACACAACCCATAACATATGGGGCTGAGCTAGTAGAACTATAGAAGTGGTGTCATTATAGTTTAGTGGAAATACAGTAAATCCTTTGTATAGCTAGTTTGCTTAGTTTGGAGCGGTACCAGGCCAGCCTAATGCTTTTCCTACAAATCATACTGGTTTTATATATATTTTTTATTTTATGATCTATTGAGAAAAAGTCCCAGTCAATCTATCCCATTCACATATAGACCTTCCACCAGGATGACGTTTATCTTTATAAATCAGAACCTGCTCCTATGTCACAAACCTTTGCTAAAATGTAGGATAAACTGAATAAAAAGTAAATCATTTTTACTGCTGCATTAAGGATAATTGTGCCCCAATTTTTCCCTTAAAAATATTTTTTAAGGCCAGTGAGATAGCTCAGTGGACTAAGCACCTGCTTAGGCAGTGCAGGAATGAGGGGCTTGATGAGCCAGTCACCAAGTCTGGGTGTGGTGGTGCATGCCTGTAATCCTAAAACTAGGGAGACTGC